GAGCCCAGGAGTTGGAGGTTGCTGTGAGCTGTAATGCCACGGTACTCTACCCAGGGGGATAGCTTGAGGCTCTGTCTCAAAAAAAAAAAAAAAAAGAAGTGTATCAGGCTTGGCTCCCATAGCACAGTGCCAGCCACATGCACCAAGGGGTGGCAGGTTTGAACCCAGCCAGGTCTAGCTAAACAACAATGACAAGTGCAACAAAAAATAGCTGGGCGTTGTGATGGGTGCCTGTAGTCCCAGCTACTTGGAAGGCTGAGGCAAGAGAATCACTTAAGCCCAAGAGTTTGAGGTTGCTGTGACCTGTCATGCCACGGCACTCTACTGAGGGTAACATAATGAAACTCTGTTTCAAAAAATAAATTAATAAAATAAAAAATATATGTATATATATAAATTTGTAAATTTGTTTAATGTATACACTGTTACTATTAGTTAGGAATAGAGCTGGGTGCAATGGCATTTTGGGAGGTTGAGGAGGGAAGATCACTTGAAGGCTTAGGCCAGGAGTTCAAGGCCAGCCTAGGCAACATAAGTGAGAACTCATCTCTATAAAAAATAAAAAAATATTAGCCAGATGTGCTGGTGTGCACTTATAGTCCCAGCTACTTGGGAAGCTGAGTTAAGAGGATCACTTCAGCCCACTTCAGGTTACAGTGATCTATGATAGGGCCACTGCACATCAGAGCAAGACCCTGTGTCTTACAAAAAAGCAAATTAGGAATAGGAGGTTAACTGCAAGCAGTGAGGAGAACTCTAAAGAATATAGGAATAGCCAATATATAGGGAGCAGCCACTAGTTCTGTACTGACAAAGTTTAATGTCAGGCCAGCTAACAAAAAATGTTTATAGGGCCCAGCTCCAGCATCACAAGGCAGGCAATGAAGTGTAAATTTGGAGATGAGAGGGATTAAATTCATAACTGGCATAAAAGCATCTCTGAAATGATAGTGAAAGGCATAAGGAAATGCAGTTCATCTTATAAAAGATAGATTTGTGCAAAATGTTGAGTAATGCTTTTGATTCATAATGTTAGGCATTATAAATAAATAAATACTTAGCTGTGAAAATACCACATAGCCACAAGAGAAACAGGTTATGACAAAAGTTTGTTTTAATTAATTAATTTATTTATTTATTTCAATAGAGTCTCACTTTGTCATCCTCAGTAGAGCACTGTGGCAACATAGCTCACAGCAACCTCAAACTCTTTGTCTCCCTATAGGCACAAGCCATAATGCCCACCTATTTTTAGAGACAAGGTCTTGCTCTGGCTCAGGCTGGTCTTGAACTCATGAGCTCAGGCAATCCACCCACCTTGGCTTCCCAGAGTGCTAGGATTACAGGTATGAGCCACCATGCCTGGCCTATGAAGAAGTTCTTTTTACTTATTTATTTTTGAGACAGAGTCTCACTTTGTCGCTCTCCATAGAGTGCTGTGTCATCATAGCTCACAGCAACCTCCAACTCCTGGGCTTAGGTGATTCTCCTGCCTCAGCCTCCCAAGTAGCTGGGACCACAGGTGCCCACCACAATGCCCGGCTATTTTTTGTTGCAGTTTGGCTGGGGCCGGGTTTGAACCCACCACCCTCAGTACGTGGGACTAGCGCCCCACTCACTGAGCCACAGGCACCACCCAAGAAGTTCTTTTTAAAAGCACATCATGACCACCTGTGGTGGCTCATGCCTAAAACCTAGCACTCTGGAAGGCTGAGGTAGGATGATCACTTGAGGCAAGTAGTTCCAGACCAGCCTGGGCTAGAGCAAGACCCAGTCACTATAAAAGATAGAAAAATTAAGGCTGGGGTCAGTGGCTTACGCCTATAATCCCAGCACTCTGGGAGGCAGAGGTGGGCAGATTGCCTGAGCTCATGAGTTCAAGACCACCCTGAGCTAGAGCAAGACCCCACTTCTAAAAATAGCCAGGTGTTGTGGCAGGCACCTGTAGTCCCAGCTACTTGGGAGGCTGAGGCAAGAGAATTGATTGAGCCCAGGAATCTGAGGTTGCTGTGAGCTATGACGCCACAGCACTCTTACTGAGGATGATAAAGAGAGACTCTGTCTCAAAAAAAAGAAAGAAAGAAAAATTAGCCAGACATGGTGGCAGATGCCTACAAGTCCCAGATATTAGGGAGGCTGAGGCAAGAAGATTGCTTCAGCCCAGGAGTTTGAGGTTACAGTAAATTATGCTGACACCACTATGTTCTGGCCTAGGTGACAGAGTGAGATATGTTCCCAAAAAAAGGTACATCAGGGCTGAGCAGGGTGGCTTATGCCTGTAATCTTAACACTCTAGGAGGCCAAGGCAAGTGGATTGCTTGAGCTCAGGAGTTTGAGACCATCCTGAGCAAGAGTGAGACCCCTATCTCTACTAAAACTAGAAAAAAAAAATAGAAAAACTGAGGCAAGAGGATTGTTTAAACCCAAGAGTTGTAAGTTGCTGTGAGCTATGATGATGCCACAGCACTCTACCCAGGGCGACATTGTGAGACTCGGTCTCAAAAAAAAAAAAAAAAAGTACGTTATGATATAACAAAGTAAATAAATAATTGCTTTTAGCATTAATCCATAGTACTACCGATTGATATTCTATACATGAAACGTCAGCTTTTTTGGCCAGGCTCGGTGGCTCATGCCGGTAAACCTAGCACTCTTGGAGGCTGAGGAGAGAGGATCACCTGAAGACAGGAGTTTGAGACCAGCCTGACCAAGACTGAGACCTGATCTCCCCTGAAAATACAAAAAACTAGCCAAGTGTTGTGACAGGCACCTGCAGTCCCAGCTACCATGGCACTCTAGCCTAGAGCAACAGGGCATGGTGGCTCATGCCTGTAGTCCTAGCTACTCCAGAGGCTAAGGAAGGAGGATTGCTTGAGCCAGGAGTTTGAGATTGTTGTGAGCTAGACTGAGGCAATGGCATTCTAGCCCAGGCAACCATGAGATTCTCAAAAAGCAACAACAAAAGGGAAACTTGAGCTTTTTAACTTTTTTTTTTTTTTGCACTAAAGATGAATCATCTTCTTCACACCTATCTAGCTGATAAACAAAGGTAGATGGTTAAGTAAAGCTCAAGGGGGCTTGTTCCCTCACCACTGCTGAACTTGGGGTGAGACATGCTTTATTCTTTCTGCCTGCTGCCAAGGAGAGCTCGGGACAGCCAGCCTGGGGAGTGGGTGGTACTCATGGGTCTGTTAGCTACTAATGTTCAACCCTGACAGTGCCAAGAGAATGATCAAATAATGGGAATATAGTGGTCCTTTACCAAACACATTAATTTAATCCACTTTAAGGGAGAAACTTTTTAAACCTGAAAAACATTTTATCACTGGGCAGCTCCTGTGGCTCAAAGAAGTAGGGCACCGGCCCCATATGCCAAAGGTGGTGGGTTCAAACCCAGCCCTGGCTAAAAACTGCAAAAATAAAAAAAACAAAAAACACATTTTATTGCAATGATAATTGGTTTATATCAGTTTGGATTAGAGAGAGAATAAGATTAAGCATTTTTTTTTTTTTTTTTTTTTGTAGAGACAAAGTCTCACTTTATCACCTTCAGTAGAGTGCCATGGTGTTACACAGCTCACAGCACCCTCCAATTCCTGGGCCTACGTGATTCTCTTGCCTCAGCCTCCCAAGTAGCTAGGACTACAGGCTCCTACCACAACGCCCAGCTAAGATTAAGCATTTTAGAGTGAAAAGCTGAGGTTTGATAGTAAGAGCCATTTTTAGTTTGCCTCAACTTATTCTCTATACTGGACCTCATTTACCTTTTTAACTGAAATAGGTGAACCTCATGTCTCAACAGTACATTTCTCAAATTCTACCACCTCAGTACTGGCCATGCTCCAGCTCTTGCTGAGGCATCAGCCCCCATCTCCAACTCAAACAGAGCCACAGGTAGGTAAGGGATATCTGCTAGGCAAGTCACCATTTCTTCTTTTGTTTTAAAGTCCTCAGCAGATTTAATTTGCATGAAATGTTAAAGAATTGCAGTTAATTAGAGGCAGTTAGGAAAAGGGGTGCAGAGTCACTGAGCATAGGAAGAAAAATCACTAGGTGTTAAAATCAGATAGCTGAATAGTACTAAACAATGACTAAGTTATTCCTTTGTATTGCTGCAGTTTTAAATGTGGTTTGCCTTGACTCCAGTTGCTTCAGATTGAAATGTTTATTCATGTATCAGCAGACTTTTTGGAGATACTCTGTTATGTTTTGACTGGTCCTGTCCTTCAGTGATTCAAAATAGCAGCCTAGATATCTCCTATTAAAGTATCAAACTATATGGAACTGCTACCTTTCTGATTATCATATCCTGTGTACTTTAGGAGAGCTTGCTTTTATTTTCACTGGAGATGTTAATTTGCATTTCCAATGGAATTGGACACATATATGCTGTATAGTGCCCTTCTGATATTTAAAACAAAAAGGTTTCAAGTCAGCCACAGCTCGTGGTCTATGGGGCTTCACAAAGGTAGAGACAAATAATCATAGATAGGGCTTGGTATTCACCTAGAAATTTTTCTGGATCCCCTGGTAGTCTGCCCGATCATAAATGAAAGTGGATTGGCAGTGCCTGTAGCTCAGTGGGTAGGACGCTGGCCACATAAACCAAGGCTGGCATGTTCGACCCCAAACCGGGCCTGCTAAAACAACAATGACAACTGCAACAAAAAAATAGCCAGGCATTGTGGCGGGTGCCGTAGTCCCAGCTACTCAGGCTGAGGCAAGAGAATCACTTAAGCCCAAGAGTTGGAGGTTGCTGTGAGCTGTGATGCCACAGCACTCTACCAAGAGCAACACAGCAAGATTCTATCTCAAAAAACAAAACAAAACATGGAGTTGGGTGGTGCCCATAGCTCAGTGGGTAGGGTACCAGCCACATGCACCAGTGCTGGTGGGTTCAAACCCAGCCCTGGCCTGCTAAAACAAAAAATATAACCAGACATTGTGGCAAAATAATAACCGGACACCACAGTACTCTATGGAGGGAGTGAGACTCTGTCTAATTGAAAAAAAAAAAAAGATGAAGAAGAAAACAGAGAGTTGTTCCTTTGGCCACACATATGCAAATCTACAAGAAAGGTGATATTGGGTGGCACCAGTGTCTTAGTGAGTAGGGCACCGGCCTCATATACCGAGCGTGGTGGTTCAAACCCAGCCCTGGCCAAATTGCAACAAAAAATAGCCGGGCGTATGCCGGCTGCCTGTAGTCCCAGCTACTCAGGAGGCTGAGGCAAGAGAATCTCTTAAGCCCAAGAGCTGAACGTTGGAAGGTTGCTGTGAGCTGTGTGACGCCACGGCACTCTACTGAGGGTGACAGAGTGAAGACACTGTCTCAAAAAAAAGGTGATATTGTAGACATCAAGGGAAAAGGTAGGCTCGGTGCCTGTGGCTCAAGCGGCTAAGGCACCAGCCACATACACCTAAAGTGGCGGGTTCGAATCCCCAGCCCAGGCCCGCCAAACAACAATGATGGCTGCAACCAAAAAAATGGCTGGGTGGTGGGCACCTGTAGTCCCAGCTACTTGGGAGGCTGAGACAGGAGACTCGCTTGAGCCCAGGAGTTGGAGATTGCTGTGAGCTGTGATGCCATGGCACTCTACCCAGGGGGATAGATTGAGACCCTGTCTCAAAAAAAAAAGGGAAAAGGTATACCACACAGACATTACCATGGCAAAACTGGAAGAATCTACAATGTCACCCAGCATGCTGTTGGCATTGTTGTAAACAAACAAGTTAAGGGCAAGATTCTTGCCCAGAGGATTCATGTTCCTATTGAGCATATTAAAAATTCTAAGAGCTGAGATAGCTTCCTGAAACCCATGAAGGAAAATGATCAGAAAAAGAAGGAAGCCAAAGAGAAAGGTACCTGTGTTCAACTGAAGCTCTAGCCTGCTACACCCAGAGAAGCACACTTCTGGAGAACCAACGGAAAGGAGACTGAGCTCCTGGAATCCATTCTCTATGAATTCATGGCATAATAGAGATATAGCATACCACACAGGAGAGCCAAGAGAATCAATGGAACCGTGATATTAGGTGCTAGAACCTATTTATTCTCCATGAATTCATGGCATAGTAGATGTACAGCATAGCACACATGGTAACCAAGAGACCCCATGTAACAGTAACATAAGGTGATGGAATCTATTCCCCAAAACTTCATGGCATACTAGTCATAAAAAGCTTTGTCACATTCAATGGCAAGGCACCTCCCTGAGCTACTGGAACCTTTTCCCTATGAATTTATAGGTATTAAAAAATAAAAGCTGGCTCAGTGCCCGTAGCACAGTGGTTACAGTGCCAGACTGAGGCTGGCGGGTCGGGTTTGAACCTGGCATGAGCCAGCTAAACAACAATGACAACTGCAACAGGTGGCTGAGCACCTGTAGCTCAGCAAGTAGGGTGCTGGCCACATACACCACGCCTGGCCCAGACCTGCTAAACAACAATGACTACTGCAACCCAAAATAGCCAGGTGTTATAGTGGGTGCCTATAGTCCCAGCTACTTGGGAGGCTGGTGCAAGAGAATTACTTGAAACCAAGACTTTGAGGTTGCTGTGAACTGTGACATCATGGCACTCTACTGAGGGGGATATAGTGATACTCTGTCTCCAAAAAAAAAAAAAAAA